CAGCACAGCGACCGGGGGGTGTAACTAACCCCCTAGTTGTCCTCTAATTTACAGAAATGATCGCCGATTTTGTACTGTTCCTAGTGCCGAATGATATAGAATGAGCTCATTTGAAGCGTTATGCATATCAGGATTTGACTTTTCATCATGTGGACCATTCTACTTACCTCCATCACGACTAGCTCATCGAACTGAATATTATTTTTTCGCTGATTCCATAACTTAATTAAAAGAAGGTAAATGCTGAATTCGGAATGCCAAAAAATATAAAAACTGACAAAAACTTCGGGAAAATTAACGCAAACTGTCTCTCGTCATTATTACATAAGAGTGGCATTTGGATATGGTTGGCGCTCGAGCACATGCATGTTGCGCAACCGTTTGTGCTAATCCTGAGTCTGTGGCTTTCCTCTCATTTCATTGTTTTCGATTTTTTTTACTCGTGACTCATTCGAACAAGTGGTTAATGACCTAGTCCCACTGGGTAAATAAAATCAAAACGGAAGAAAAGATTGCACAGTTCCAAGAAAATTTCAGCCGTGGGAAACACTCAGAAAAAATTGAAGTTTTTGCAGACTGCTCGAGACTTGAATGCCTTTTCACAGCATCTTCCAACTTCTTTTGCACATCAGGAGGGCTGAAGTTCATTCACCGTGTTGACTGTGTAAGGCTCGGTCATTTTATAGAGGAGAGGAGCGCTCCGATTCCAATTAAATGCCATTTTTTCAAGACGTAGTTAATATTTTTTTCAACATTTAATCTAATATTTTATTACTATGTTTTCTATAACGTATGCCTTCTTTTTCAATTTTTGGTAAAAAAAGAGAAGAAAAATGAAGACTTTAGTCGGTTATTATTCTTTCAAGAAACTAAATGAGGTATAAAAAATAGCAATAAATGCGGCGGTAAGATTTGTTAAAACATTTTTATTTATTTTTACGTTTCTGGTTGCTTGATCTTTGTGTTCATAAGAAAAACGAAGTAAGGTGACAGTAAAGACCATCTAACGAAATATTCCGGGTCCAAAATATAGGTCAAAACCCTGGTAAAAATTGGCAGTCGAATCTGTGTTCCAAAATACGATAGACCTACGGCCGGCTGTAAGATTTCCAATAGCTTCCATAGCACACACAACACATGTACATGTGTTCATGACTTCATGTGTACACAATTTCTTATAGCCTTTTATAGCCGATGGCGATTAAGCAACAGCCTTGCGATAAAGTGTATGCTAAACGTTACTAATTACGGATGCTAGGACTTAGTGAGTTTTTGGAATACTGCTCTCTTTTTGAGCCGTAGTATCTTGATTTATTTTGCGAGGAAAGCTCCGTACTTTTGATGGATGCCTGCCATTACTAATATATTAGAGCGCCTTCAGTTTCGTACGATACTGTGCAATACCTCTGGCGTGAAATAGTTGCTTCAAACGCCGTGGCACGCTGCGGTGCGGCAGGCGGGTAGCCAGCGCGAAACGCGCATTGGCGCCTACAAACCTAACAGGGATACTTCACGCGTTGCGCAATGCGTCAAGTATCCCTGTTAGGTTTGTAGGCGCCAGTGCGTCGCCGCTCCGCTTTGTGTTAGGCTCTAATATTTAATCTGGCGGAGTCAGCGTTATTGAACTCATGATTTTGATATTTTTGCACATCCTGTATGGATTATTCTCACTTTAATTGATGAAAAGAAATATGTATTAAAGGAAAATATAATGTGTGGTTTGTAAATATTGAGGTGGTTCCGTATCAAACCTAATGATTTCTAAAGCACACGAATTTCTACACAATTTCTTATAGCCTTTTATAATCGATGGCGAAAAAGCAACAGCCAGGCGATAAAGTGTAAAGCCCGGCTATAGGAACTATAGCCCGGCTGCATGATTTTTTATTGCTTCGTATAGCCCGGCCGTATGATTTTCTCCGCATTCTACAGCCAGCTATATGATTTTCTGTAGCCTTCTTTAGCCGGCTATAAGAATTCCTATGGTATTTTGAAACCCAGCTCTTATTGCCAATTTTTACCAGGGGAGACGTAACAATTCTGAGTCCAAATCTGGAAAGAAGCCAAGAAAAATCGAAGTCTCTTGTGTGTCGTAATTCATCGATAAATCGACGTCATATACCCCTATTTTCTGCAGCATGTCTCTTTTTTGCCCGACAAAAGCGATGAACGCAGGTTCGTAGTCGCAGTGTTACATAAACAAAAAATAAATTAAAAAATAAAAATAAAACATCCTGTATTCTGTAACGGCAAGGCCTGGATATAACTATTCTTGTTCGATGGGTTTCTATGCAACGTTTTTTTAAAAAAGAAATCATCTCAATTGAGGTATTTGGAAATATCCGCTCCTATTTTCATCTTAATAAATGCAAAGAAACTTCTAACTTAACTTATAAACTTGATAAATGCAAAGAAACTTATAACTTAACTTATAAACTTTATAAATGCAAATAAACTCAATTTTAACATTTTTTCGAAATATAATTTGCAAAAAAAGGAAGAACTACGGACTTCATGAAATTGACGTTGAAAAGTTGTCAAAAAAGGTATGAAAAGAAAAAGGAACAAAAATTATGACGTGAGGTTCGGAACTTCATGAACCGAGGCACAAGTTCTCTTAGTTTCACAATCAAAGATGTGGTATTAAATGAAAGCGCACCAACTCATCTAATGATAACGCCTTGATGCAACTATTCGAGCTCAGTGGTTGTCCGTGTTGCATATGTAATGAGATGAAGGCGCTTTGTGTTTACCGGCGCAGCTAACAATAAGTAGCAATATAACTACCCCGTTGCTATTGCATTATTCGTTCCCAGCATGATACTGAAAAATCGGAGATTAAAAGTTGCTCAGCATGCTGTGTGATGTCTAACAAAGACAATATCGATGGCCAAAGTTCATAACCACGTACCTCCATTGTGGTATCTCAAAATTTTCGTTCGTTATTTATTTGTTACAGAGGAGCAAGCCAATTTTATGGGTTGAAATTTGTACATAGTAGTCTACTAACCGAGGAAAAAAATCAAGGAAACTTTCAAGAAATTACTACCATTAGTTCTCCGAAGAAAAAATAAAGTATGAAAGGAAGTCTGTAACGCCGCAAACGGAGAGGTGATGGTTTTGTATTTTAGCATTGATAAGAAAACTGAAAACATTTTGAGACTGACCATTTTGTGAGATCTCTTCTGTTAATCACCCTGAACATACTTTTTCCATTTATTCAAAATGCGAGAGTAGTAGGAGAGAGATAGGATTATACCTGGAAAAAAGTTAAACGAAGAGAATATAGTAAACATAATGTTAGAAAATAAGATAATTGGAATAGTACATACAGACTCATACGAACAGAATCGTTCAACACAAAGTACAAACGTAAATCTAGAAATTGAAGGCGCTATGATACAACTATTCGTACCCGATGGATGTGCGTATTGCATCCTGAACATTTGAAGGAGCTTTGGCTTTCGTGGCCCTCTTAGTTACGCGTGCCGAGCAGCGTTGTAAGGTGCTAGTGATTTCGTTCCCCACTTTGGCTATCGAATATCTTGGTGAACCTTGGCTTTCGATTTATGTCCAGTTCAAAAACTTGAGGGGTAAGCGACCCCCTCTCTCTGCCCATACATGCCCCGCTACTATCAAGGACCCCCTGTAACCCCACTCAACCAAAATGCGATCCGTGTCGATAGCCAGAGTGCGAAACCACGCCAATTTTCGTTTGCGATGATGCAGAATTCAAGTCTTCCTTAGATTATTATCTGGAAAACTATTCTACCTTGCTAAAGAAAAACGCCGTATAAACATTCGAGAGTTGCCAAATATCTCCGAATAAAACATGTATTTTTGAGGAAAGTTATGCTTATTTTCCCTTGAAATTTTCAGATATTTTAGATGAAACTGAGAACAAAATTTTCTGAATATTTTTTTTAAAAAAAAAAGATATTATTTTCCCATGTATATCGTTTCTATATTGAAGGGATCGTCTAAAGGCTCTTACGGCTCTCTTCCTTAGCACGGCAGCATTCGATATAATTTTTCAATAACTTGTTTGACTTTTCTTTTATGTTACCAGAATATTCTGCAAAAATGTCATGTTATGATTTTGGCTTGTTCTCTTAGAAAATATATTAAATCGGGGCGAAAATTTTGAAATACCGCGCAATGAAGGTACGTAGTTTCTCAATTTGGTCATCCATACCTCCCTTGCGATACCATTCCTCACGGTACCATTCCTTACGTTACCGTTCCTCACGGTGAAATTCCTTACGTTACATACTGAAAAAAAATTCTCGGCGCTTTTACCAAGGTCCGTTGGTACCTTCACCATCTAACTTTTTTTTTTTACCAATTATTGGTAATTTTACCAGGACAGACTAGTAAGCTTACCTAAAAACCGGTATTTTTACTGTTTTTGTTTCAGGTAAGAATACCACTTTTATTGGTAATCAATTCCCGGTAACTTTGCCATTTTATCTCGGTAATTCTACCACAGCCGATGAAAAATATTGGCGTTTTTACCAAGGTCCAGTAAAATCACCGAGAAAGTTCAATAATTTTAGATTTCTCGGTAAAATTACCATTTCCATAAATGGTAATTTTACCAAGAAAAAACTAGGATCAAATAGAACCCTGAATTCTTGGTAATTTTACCCTTTTCTTAGTAAATACACCGAGATTTTTTTTTCGGTGTACCATTCCTCACGGTGAAATTCCTTACGTTACCATTCCTCACGGTGGAATTCCTTACGTTACCATTCCTTACGGTGAAATTTCCTTAAGGTACCATCCTTACGGTGCGGAGGCTACGGAAATCAGTTGATAAAGTAAAAAAAAACGACTAGAGCCCCCGGTATTTTATGCCCCTGGACGAGGCAGGGGTTGAAGGGATCATCGGGAGGACGATGCATCCCCGGGACGACATGGCCGGGGCCGAAAGCTGCACGTACTCGCAGGTCGCGCGGGGCGAAAAAAGGATGCGAGTGCGGGACTGAAAAGGCGCGTTACATAAGGAGCCCGGCTGACCAGGCGAGACGCCGGCTTTTCAGAAGTAGAGCTCCCGACCCCGCGTCATAACGTAGTCTTAGTGGCACGCTCCCGATCGGAAACTGACTTTTTCTCAACGCACCCCCGGATAATAACTCAATCGCATAATCATGGTAAGTTCCCTCAGGCTCCAACTTCCGGTATATTTTCCCCTCCCCCGTGTGATCACCGACCGATGATTTTATTTTAATTATCCTCGTCATCGATAATTTTCTTTTTAACAATAACACTGAACATTTTGGGGTATGGATTTAGCAGAAGTTTTTTTTTATTTTATTATTTTTTAGGAAAAGACATTTTCAAATAGTTTCTTGATCATTCTCAGCGCACAAGTTGCTGGTACAAATGAGAGGTTTGTAAAGTTAAGTACAAATGATGAAGGGTTATCGTTTGCCTCGACTTCTAAATGGAAAATGATTGGTATTGGGATTCGGAGAATTTTTTTTGGAGCCACGAAATTTGTATTCAACAACCAGTGTTGTAACTCCCGACCGATGATTTTATTTTAATTATCTTCGTCATTAATAATTTTCTTTTACGTGAAGGGTTACCATTTGCCTCGATTTCTAAATGGAAAATGATTGGTATTGGGATTGGGAGAATTTTTTTTGGAGCCACGAAATTTGTGTTCGACAACCAGTGTTGACTACCGACCGATGATTTTATTTTAATTATCTTCGTCATCGATGATTATTTTTTTACGCGGAGGGTTATCGTTTGTTTCCGTTTCTTAACGGAAAATAATACGCATTGGGAATGGGAGAAGGGTTGGGAGAATTTTTTTTTTTTGGAGGTACAAATTTCGTTTTCAACAACCAGTGTTTACTTAAGGCAATCAACTACTGCCTACCTAACCCATGATAAATTTAGTCAACTGGTCAACACTTTTCTCTGAGACTTCTGGGAGTGTGCTTTTCAAATGCAGTGATCATGATGGGTATGTCAGTAAGCTCTGGAAGCAGGATTTTGAATTTTGGTGAACTTCAGTTGTGATTTTCATAAATTTAAACTTTTTTTTTTTTTTAAAAAAAACTTATTTCTTATGATTTTGAAATTGTACAAAAAATACACATATTCTTGCAAGGCTATTACCCTGGTTCCAAAAATATAGCGGTTGCTTTGCTGGTCATTTTCTTTTTTAAAAAAAGTTAAGATATCTTCCGTAGTTCCTGAGGAAAATGTACCTAAAGTCGGAAAAACCCAAATTTTCAGGAGCGCAAAAACAGAACAAAAAAGAGTTCTGATTATACCTACTGATTACTGATATACATGCGTTTAATATATTTTACGCAAATAAATTAAAAATTTAATAAATTTACTAAAATAATAAGTAAACGGTTTATAACCATAGTGCTTATCCATTAGCTGCTGGAAATTAGCCGAGAGATAGAGGGAGGGATAGTTGATGAAAGTTGTATTATATTTTGTCGGGTAATTCACCTATCTAGAGAGGAACCCTAATTTTTTTACAATTTGAAAGGTCAATGCCCCTTCATCTTTCTCGATTGTTCAAGGATTAAAGTCGCGCTCCTAATATTTACGTTTTTCCTCCTCCCAAAATCTGTACTTCTCAATTTATTCTCATAGGCCTGGAATTTTGATTCAACACCTGGAATTTCATGTCCTTCAAGAAAATTAATTTTAAGAAACTTTTTCCCAAGAAACTCTCGGTTGTTCGTCGTACTCTTTTGTGTGCCCCTCGGAGTACGATCCTGTGTTCAGAAAGAAAATTTTGGTTTATTCGCGAACTCGGAAGCATTTTGCGGTTAAATGGACTTTTCGAAAATAGTTGTGAGTGAATTTATAAATTTTCAGCAGTGCAGTGTGAACAAAAAGATGAACGGAAAGTGATATTACGTCATCATAAGGCAGCACCATCGTAGATGTTCTCCGAAAGTATAATTCTTATTTCAAGTAACTGAGTGTTTTCTCTCTTATCTAGAAGTAAAGATGACAATCCTTTAACTCTGGTAAAATTCAGCAAAACCAACGGCTATTTGTTTTTTGTTCGATATAGATCTCCGAAACGTGCTACTGTGAAATTGCTTGTCGTCTGACTCGAGTGGAGTGGTATTCTAATCGGTGCTGAGCGCTTAGCGAGAATAGATAGATTTACATCTGTTAAAATGTGCTTTATTTCTTCACGATTAGCATATTTTTTGCTGGCGACTCTTCATCACGTCTTTATTTTCAGAGGATCCTCGGCGATTTTCTCTAATATGTTATTCACGGGAAAAGTAAAAAATCCATGCCGGTGTCTTTCTAAAAAAATTAAATAAGATTTGCCCCAGGTCATATTGACATTTCTGCATGATATTTTACATCTAGTGACAGTTACTAATCGAATTGTTCCGGGACTTTCTTGAAGATCATCATCGATTTTTTTTCAAGCTTCATGAGTCCGATATTTGAATAATGCATTAAAAAGTTATCTACGTGAAGAGTTTAGATTAAAAAAAACGTAAGTGGAATAATTTAGGATTGGTAACATATGTTAGGTAGAATTGCACTCTAAATTGAAGAGGATTGAGGAAAGTATTTAAAACTTTGAAACTAGGAGCTACTCATGGAGATACCACTCAAGATTCCATCAAGCATCGGGAAGAGACAAAGTCACATGTTTTCTCTTCAAAATATTACCTACGTGGAAAAAAGTATTTCTAACAAAGATCAAATGAAAATTAGATTCGATACACGAATGACGTCATTCACATTCTTGTCTTTTAAGTAATTTCGATTATAAACACTTGTATCTTGTTAAGAGGTTGACTTCTGGGCTTTCTGTTTTCTGGTTCTTTTTCCTCGTGAAATTTTAAAGGAAAAACATGTTGCGTAGAACTTCAATTCATACTTCGTCTACAGCCCGTTGGGCGATGTTCACTTATCTACAGATAAACTTCTATCGTAGAAGACAATGGAGATGTTGTATGTGTGAAGAATTTGCGATTTGACTGATGATTCTTATGTAGAAGTTCGCGAGAGACACGATGGTGTCACCGGTTTTCTCTGAAATCAACTCCCAAGCTCAAAAAAGCTCTCAAAGTAAGGCCAAAATGGAGGGGATATCCCAATCCCACGCTACCATGAGAGTCCACCTACATCAAAACAAACTATCCATGCATAGATAGGGAGCAAATACATTAGCAGGGTTGCCTCTTTATTTGGGGACTCCAAAACTGAAAATACGGCATCACTGCTAATGTATTTGCTCCCTGTCCTTGCATGGAGAGTTCGTCTTGATGTAGAGGTGGACTCTCAGGGTAGGGTGGGATATCCCCTCCATTTTGACCTCAACTTGAGAGCTTTTTTTGAGCTTGGGAGATGATTTTAGAGAAAACCAGTGGCACCATCGTGTTTCTCGCGAACTTTTACATGAGAATAAATGATCGAATCGCAAATCCCTCACACATGCAACATCTCCGTTGAGGGGCTTGAAGGACAAGTCGGATAAGTGCAGTTTTGGCTATTTTAGGAAATACTTGTTTATTTTTCAAAATTATATGGAGCCTTATGGCGGAGAAAAAGCTCGAACTTGCTTTTTAAGGCTTAAAAATTGGATTGTAGTGGGAGATTTTTCACAGAATATATGTTAAGATTATAATTTTGGTTCAAATCATTAAAATCTCAATTTTTTCAAAATTTGCAATTATTCCACTTGTCTCTAAAGTCCCTTGATCTCGCTAAAAGTTGCATCCTTTAAAAGTAGTCCATCTACGTGAAAAATTTAAAAAAAATCTTTAACCTTCATTGGGCCGAATAGTTTTTTTTACTACTGATAAGTCTCCTCATTAATACGGCTTCTACCGTACCCGCTACACGGAGAAAAAACCCTCGTGCGGTGGACCCGAAGTTAAGGTCATATGAATCTCTGAAGTTTTCTGATCACGTATCTAAAAACTTGAGGTTCAGCTGCCGAAGTTCGGGTCAGGCATCTGAAGTACTTCGATATATACCGAAGGGTTCGGGTCACACATCTGAAGTACTCCAATACATATCGAAGTACCTCGATGTCTGACCCGAACTTCGGCAGCTCGACCTCAAGTTTTCGGATGCGTGATCAGAAGACTCCAGAGATCCATATGACTTCAACTTCGGGTCCCATGCACGAATTTGTTTTCTCCGTGTAAAACACCCGCTAAACCTTTGCCCTCAAGAAACTGATTTATGAGCTACGCCACTCGATATAATGCCGATGATCTATAGGATCTAGGCCCTTAGCAAATCCGGCAAAATAATCGATATAGAATCAATCAATTTGTTCTGGATGGCACGATTGGGAATGGAGATGTTGCATGTGTGAGGGATTTGCGATTTGACCATTGATTCTTATGTAAGAGTTCGCGAGAAACGCGATGGTGCCACTGGTTTTCTCTGGAATCATCTCCCAAGCTCAAAAAAAGCTCTCAAGTTGAGGCCAAAATGGAGGGGATATCCCACCCTACCCTGAGAGTCCACGTCTACACCAAGACAAACTCTCCATGCAAAGATAGGGAGCAAATACATTGACAGGGCTGCCACTTTATTTGGGGACTCCACAACTGAAGACACGGCAACCCTGCTAATGTATTTGCTCCCTATCTTTGCATGGAGAGTTTGTCTTGATGTAGACGTGGACTCTCAGGATAGCGTGGGATATTCCCTCCATTTTGGCCTCAACTTGAGAGCTTTTTTTGAGCTTCGGAGTTGATTTCAGAGAAAACCAGTGGCACCGTCGTGTTTCTCGCGAACTTTTACATAAGAATCAACAGTCAAATCGCAAATTCCTCACACATGCAACATCTATACCATCCATAACCACTCATCTGGTACACGGACCGCGGACTTGGTTTTTTTCTTTCTTTCTTCTTTTGTTTCGTTTTTTAACGTCTCTCGTGGAGGTTTCCCGGTTTCCCGGTTTCCCCCTCGCCCCTCTTGAGGTGTGTCAACGCACGCATTTTGCAAATATGCAGACGCACCAACCATTTTCCTCCTTCTTACTGGGAGGGCCTCTGCCGTCTTTGGGGTGGAGCGAGAAGCTGCTTTCGCATATGGTGCCGTGCTAAAGAAAAACGCCGTATGAACCTTCAGGCGCTGCCAAATTTCCGTTGATGAAACGCGAATTTCCTGGTAAACT